GGTTCTGGTGGCTGTCCTTCTCCTTAGTTTCCCTGTGGTTCTTTGTGCTATTTGGCGTAGGGTAGAAGTAAGGGTAAAAAGGGTACCCTCCCTTTTATTTTCAACTGAGAAATGACTTACACAGCATAAATTAAAATAATAAAGTGTACAATTTGGTGGTGGTTAGTATATTTACAAGGTTTGGCAACCCTCATGTGGTATGATTCCAGAATGTTTTTTAGCAACCCCAAAAGAAACTGCATACCCATTATCTGTCATTCTCCACATGAGATTGAGGGCTGGGTGCTGGCGAAGCTGTCACCTGGTTAATTTTTTGTATATGGTGTGAGGTAGGGGTCCAACATCGTTCTTCTGCATATGATCCAGTTGTCCCAGCACCACGTTTTGAGGAGACTATTCCTTCCCCATTTGAATGGTCTTAGCACCTTTTTTGAAAATCAGTTGGTCATATATGTATGGGTTTATTTCTGGAGTCTCAGTTACATTCCTGTCATCTGAATGTCTGTCTTTATGCCTGTACCACAGTCATAATTTTTAATTAAAATTTTAAAAATTGAGGTAACATTGGTTTATAACATTATATGTTTGCATGTACAACGTTGTATTTCTTTTTTTTTAATTTATTAAAAAAAATTTTTTTTAATAGAGGTACTGGGGATTGAACCCAGGACCTTGTGCATGCTAAGCATGTGCTCAATCACTGAGCTATACCCTCCTCCAACATTATATTTCTGTTTATTTCTATTTTTGTGTACCCTACAGCATGATCACCACCAAAAATTTAGTTTCCATCCATCGCTATACAGTTGATTCCCTTTACCCATTTTGCACCTCCTTCCCCTCTGGTAATCAGTACTCTTCTCTGTATCTATGTGTTTGTTTTTGTTTTTTCATTAATTTTGTTTGTTTGTTTTTATATTCCACATAGGAGTGAAGTCATACAGTATTTGTCTATCTCTGTCTTATTTCATTTAGGGTGAGATCAAGGTCCATCCATGTTACTGCAAATGGCAAGATTTGTTTTTTTTTAATAGCTGAGTAGTATTCCATTGTATATATACTCATCTTCTTTATCCATTCATCCATTAAATGGCACAGGTTGTTTCCATATGTTGGATATTGTAAATAATGCTAACATAGGGTTGCATATATGTTTCGAATTAGTGTTTTTGCTTTCTTTGGATAATACCCAGGAGTGGAATTGCTGGATTGTATAGTAGGTTTATTTTAAATTTTTGAGGAATCTCTATATTGTTTTCCATAGTGGCTGCACTACTTTTATATTACCAACAGTGCACAAGGGTTCTCTTTTCTCCACATCCTCATCCACATTTATTTCTTGCCTTTTTTTTTTTGATAATAGCCATTCTAATAGGCATGAGGTGATATCTCATTGTAGTTTACACTTCATTTCCTTGATGATTAGTGACATTGAATATATTTTCATGTAACTGTTGGCCATCTGTATGTCTTTGGAAAAATGTCTCTTCAGCCTCTCTTGCTTTTTTTTTGCTTTTTTTTTTTAAACCCCCCCCCCACCTCTGCTTACTTTTCATTGAGATGTTTGGGTTTTTTTTTTTTTTTTGATGGGGGGTAATAAGGTTTATTTATTTAAATGGAGGTACTGGAGATTGAACCCAGAACCTTGTGCATGCTAAGCATGTGCTCTACCACTGAGCTATATACCCTTCCCGGCGAGATATTAATCCTTTATCAGATATATCATTTGCAAAAAAAACCTTTTCCCATTTGCTGGATTGTCTTTTTATTTTGTTGATGGTTTCCTTTGCTCTGCAGAAGCTTTTTAGTTTGATGTAGTCCTATTTGTTTATTTTTGCTTTTGTTTCCCTTGCCCAAGGAGACATATCTAGAAAGATATTGTTAAGACCAATGTCAAAGAGTATACTGCCTTTGTTTTCTTCTAGGAGTTTTATGGTTTCAGGTGTTACATTCAAGTCTTTAATCTATTTTGAGTTGATTTTTGTGTATGGTGTGAGATAGTGGTCTAGTTTCATTTTTTTTGTATGTGGCTGTCAAGTTTTCCCAACAGCCATTTATTGAAGAGACTATTCTTTCTTCATTATATGTTCTTTGCTCCTTGTTGTAAATTAATTGTCCATATACACATGGGTTTATTTCTGGGTCCTCAATTCTGTTCCATTGATCTATGTGCCTGTTTTTCTGCTAATAGGATTTTTTTTTTTTTTTGCCTACTATGACTTTGTAATATAGTTCAAAATCAGGGATTGTGATGCTTCCAGCTTGTTCTTTTTTTTTTTTTTCCAGAATTGCTTTGGCTATTTGAGGTCATTTGTGGTTCCATGTACATTTTAGAATTTTTTGTTCTGTTTCTGTGAAAAATCTCCTTGAGATTTTGATAAGGATTGCATTGAATCTGTAGATTGCTTTAGGATTTTTAACAATGTTAATTCTTCCGATCCATGAGCATGGAATGTCTTTCCACTTATTTGTGTGTTCAGTTTCTTTTAACACTCTCTTATAGTTTTCAGTATACAGGTCTTTCACCTACTTGGTTAAATTTATTCCTACGTGTTTTATTCTTTTTTTGTGATTGTCAATGGGATTATTTTCTTAATTTCTCTTTCTGCTGGCTCATTGTTAGCATATAGAAGCACAACAGATTTTTATATGTTGACTTTTGTACTCTGCACCTTTACTGTAGCCATTTATTATTTCTAATCTTTTTGGTGGAGTCTTTAAGGTTTTCTATATGTAAAGTCATGTCATCCACAAATAGTGACAGTTTTGCTTCTCCTTTCCAATTGGATACTTTTTATTTCTTTTTCTTGCCTAATTGCTCTGGCTAGGACTTCCAATACTGTGTTGAATAAGAGTGGGCATCCTTGTCTTATTCTTGATTTTAGAGGGATAGCTTTCAGTTTTTCACCATTGAGTATGATGTTAGCTGTGGTTTTGTCATATATGACCTTTATTACACTGAGGTACATTCCTTCTGTACCCACTTTACTAAGAGCTTTTAATCATAAATGGGTGTTGAATCTTATCAAATGCTTTTTCTGCATCTGTTGAGGTGACCATATAATTTTTATGTTTCAGTTTGTTAAAGTATGTGTCATGTTGATTGATTTGTGGATGTTGAACTATCCCTGCATCCCTGAAATAAATCCCATGTGATTCTGGTGTATGATCCTTTCAATATACTATTATATTCGATTTGGTAATATTTTGTTGAAGATTTTTGTATCTACGTTCCTCAGAGATATTAGCCTCTAATTTTTTTTGTGTGTGTTCTTTGGTTTTGGTATGGGTGATGTTGGCCTTGAAAAATAAGTTAGGAAAAGTTCCCTCCTCTTCAATTTTTGGAAATAGTTTGAGAAGGATAGATAGTAAATCTTTGTTTGGTTGAATTCACCTGTGAAACTGTCTGGTCCTGGACTTTTTTTGCGGGGGAGCTTTTCAGTGACTGTTTCAGTCTTCTTGCTAGTGATCAGTCTATTCAGATTTTCCATTTCTCCATGATTTAGTCTTGGAAGGTTGTGTGATTTTAAGAATTTGTCCCTTCTAGGTTGTCCAATTTGTTGGTGTATAGCTGTTTATAATATTCTCTTACTGTTTGTTTTCTGTGGTATCCATTGCTATTTTTTCTCTTTTGCTTATTTCATTTATCAGAGCCTTCTCTCTTTTTTCTTGGTGAATCTAGCTAAAGGTTTGTCATTACTACCACACTGTCTTGATTACTGTAGTGGGTACCTTTTTATAAGCAGGATAAGGTTCTAGCTTTACCACTGAAGAGAATATAAAATAATACAGACTTTTGTCCCAAAGTAGTCATTTTTTTGTGCTCCTGCTAACATTTTACCTTAAAAAAATGGTCCAATGAGTGTCATTAAACTCAACCAAATAGCAACACTGCTGTCATATTGCTGTTACTCCTAAATAGTAAGTTTGTTGAAGATAGAACTTACATGTTTATATTTATGCCTAACACAGTGATCATTACATGGATTCTTAATATTAAAAGAGTCTTATTAAAGCAGGAAAAGTTAGGGGATGAGTCATAGTATAAGCAGTAAAATGTCATTGGGAAGAGTGGGGGATGATGAAATAGGTAAAATGAGGTTTTCAGAAGCAGACCTGGATGAGAATAAAATGTGTGGGATAGGAGTGAGGGAGATAATTGTTTCCCCAAATATGTTCCCTGTTGTTACGGAAACAGCAGACATTCCCAATTTATAGGGTAGTCCCCATTTTAAAGATTCTCACCCACGGTTAGACCATGTGTTTGGATTCTTGGTTCCAGAACCATCATCCCTGTCCCTGTTGTGGTTTGACAGGGTGTGTTTGCCATCGTGGAGATGGGGGACGTGGCTACCCGGGAAGCTGTCCTGTCACAGCCTCAGCACAGCCTGGGGGGCCATCGCCTGAGGGTCCGGCCACGGGAGCAGAAAGAGTTTCAGAGCCCAGCCTCCAAGTCCCCCAAAGGAGCCGCCCCCGATAGTCACCAGATGGCCAAAGTGCTAGCCGAGGCTCCGGATGTGGGGGCACAGATGGTGAAGCTGGTGGGGCTGAGGGAGCTCTCCGAGGCTGAGCGGCAGCTTCGGAGCCTCGTGGTGGCCCTGATGCAGGAGGTCTTCACAGAGTTCTTCCCTGGTGAGTCACCTCCCTCATCGTGTCTGAGCCCTCCCTGTCCTTCCTTCGCTGTCTGCATCCCCTGTCCTCCCTCAGCCAGTAGTGTTCATTTGCTTGCTTTACCATCTCCGTGCCCTGTTAGGTTCTTCCACTAGTTAGTCCCTGAAGTGTCTCTTGACCTTTCTTCTCTGCTTTGCACCCAGGCTGTGTGGTCCATCCTTTTGGCTCTTCCATAAACAGCTTTGATGTCCATGGCTGTGATCTTGACCTCTTCCTGGATCTGGGGGACTTGGAAGAGCCCCAGGTATGTGACCAGGGCGGCAGCTGTGAAGAGGCAGTGGGAATGGTCATGTGACTCTTGGCAAGCACTTATCTCATGCCTTAGTTCCTCTTCTGTAGAATGGGGATAGGACCTGCCTGAAAGTGTTATTGTAATTGGAGAGATGTGAATGTGTGTGGGTATTGGATAGGATGAAATAAATTGACATGAGATAGATGGCACTTGTAACAGGAAGAAAGCCAGATTTCAAAATGGCAAGTATCATATCTTATTGGCGTGGGTGGAATATATACATATATATATATATGTATATATATATATATATCTCCAATAAGATATTATAACATATACGTAACCCATTATTGTATGTGTGTGTGTGTGTATGTATGTATACATACATACACACACACACACACACCCTATGTTTTTGCTTATCTGTATTTTTCTAACATCTAATGTACAGATTCTGCCTTGGGAATAGGAAAGGGTTATTTTGTTTTGTTTTGTTTTGGTTCTTGGTGGGGGGGGAGCTAATAGGGTTTATTGATTTATCCATTTATTTTTAATGGAAGTACTGGAGGTTGAATCTAGGACCTTGTGCATGCTAAGCCCAAGTTTTTAAATACACTGTTTGCAGGTTCACAGCTAAATTGAGCAGAATGTACAGGGTTCCCATTTACCCCTCCCACAAAAGGTTTTTTTTTTTATTTCTTTTTTCATTCTCTCTCTCCCTCCACACACGCACACACACACACACACACACACACATACACACACTCACAGTTTATATTTTCTGAATCATTTGACAGTAGGTTGCATACATCATGCCCCTTTGGTCCTTAATGTTCTAGTGTGTATTACCTAAGAACAAAGGTACTCCAGTGTATAACCACATTACAGCGCTCGAGTTGAGGAAATGTTACAGTGGCAAAATATAAAAGCGCTTTACAAAACGAATCTACTTTCCATACTCGTTTTGTCAGCTACCCTAACAGTGGATAGCTGTGTTGTCTTTTTAGTCTTCTTCAAGAGTTCCACTGCTTTTTTAAATTAATATTTTTGTAGAATACGGACCATTTATTTCATGGCATAAAAAGGTTAATTTTAAAAAGAGCTTATGAGGATTAAATGAATTAATATTCTAAGGCCTTTAGAATAGGGCCTGGCCCATAAGAGTCAGAAATAGATATATCTTGGGGCTGGAATGTTCCCCAGTTAGGCAACAGCAGGAGAGGCATTTACTCAGCTCGTTTCCATCCCCAGCCAGCCCCCAAGGCTCCACAGTCTCCATCCTTGGACTCGGCCCTGGCATCTCCACTGGACCCTCAAGCCCTGGCCTGCACCCCAACCTCTCCTCCAGACTCACAGCCTCCAGCTTCTCCCCAAGACTCAGAAGCCCTAGACTTTGAAGTTCCTTCTTCCTCCCGGGCACCCCGGACCCCAGACTCTGCTTTGGCCTCTGAGACCGTCGCCTCTCCCCATTCCCTGCCTCCAGCCTCACCACTGCAGGAGGACCCAGGAGAGGGGGACCTGGGGAAGGCCGTGGAACTGGCAGAGGCCCTGAAGGGGGAGAAATCAGAAGTGGGGGGCATGCTGGAGCTGGTGGGATCCATTCTTCGGGGCTGTGTCCCTGGTGTGTACCGAGTCCACACTGTGCCCTCTGCCCGACGCCCTGTGGTCAAGTTCTGCCATCGTCCTTCGGGTCTCCATGGTGACATCTCCTTCAGTAATCGGTACCTCTGTTTAGGAGGTGGGGGGGGGAGGCAAGCTGGGCACTCTAGGGTGGGTGAGGAGGGACCCCTGCACCCACTGAGTCTTGAGGTTGTCCTTGTTTGGTCCTGTCTCTTTCTGACACTCATCTCATGTCTGGCTTTCATTTCAGTATTCAGAATGTGTGTTTCTTGGGATACTGTTTTTAAGGATTTAGGAAAGAGTTCCGTGGTTGGATAGTTTGGGAAATGCTAAGTTAAACACGACGGGTTTCTCCCTTTCCTCCCTCTCCCCCACTTCCTCTTTCCCCCTCTTTCTCCTTTCCTTCCTTTCTCCCCTCTTCCTATCTTTGTTTCTTTGCATAGTAAAGGCTCGATCAGTCTTGTAATAACATGCTCTGTGACTGTCCAAGACATTTGTAGGATGTAGTGTTTCCCAAACACATTTGACATTCTTTTGTACACACTCTGGCCAGACTGTGTCAGAAGACGCTGTGGGAAACCCTCTTTTGGCCTTATTCCAGCTGGCCCCCATTACACAAGTCTGGAATAAGAGCTGGGGTGGGGGTGATAGGATCCTGAGCCCTAACACCCTTGACTCCTCTCTGTCCCAGGCTGGCGCTGCATAACTCCCGCTTCCTGAGTCTCTGCTCTGAGCTGGATGGGCGAGTACGGCCCCTTGTGTACACTCTGCGCTGCTGGGCTCAGGGTCGAGGACTGTCAGGTGAGAATGAGTCAGGACAGACTTGGGGCAGTGTTGGTGTCGGGGCAAAGGCAGGGATTCAGGGAGAGGAGGATGGTAGGTCCAGGAGCTGGGGTTCAGAAAGCTGCCTAAAAAAGAGAGCAGAAACACCTCTAATCTAACTGGAATTATTAATTATTTACCCAGGGAGTGGCCCACTTCTCAATAACTACGCTCTGACCTTGCTCGTGATCTATTTCCTTCAGACCAGGGACCCTCCTGTGTTGCCCACAGTGGCCCAGCTCACCCAGAAAGCAGGTACAGCAACCCAACTTCCACCCGTTCTGTCTCCTTAGCTTCATCTGTCTTCTTCATCTCACTTAGACACACTGAGCTTCCCTGGGATCTCTGCTATCACCCCCATTTCCACCCCCTTCCTCCTCAGTCTTCCTGCTTGCAGGCTGACCCTCACTGTTTTCACTTTCGTAGGTGAGGGCGAACAGGTGGAGGTTGATGGCTGGGACTGTAGTTTCCCCAGGGATGCCTCAAGACTGGAGCCCAGCACCAACAAAGAGCCCCTGAGTGAGTTTGGGGAGCCTGTTAGAAACTAATAAATGATGCTAATCACAACAGTGGGTAACATACATCACACAGTTACTGTGTGCCAGGCCTGGTTCTCACAGCAGCCTCATGGGATAGCTAATATTGTTCTTGCCACTTTACAGATGAAGAAACCATGCCTTGGAGTAATTAAGTGGCTTGCCCAAGGTTAGCAAGGTTGTCAAGGCCAGCAAGGGGAAGGAGCAGTATTGGGAGGCACGGGGATACAGGTTTGACTTCTTGTTTATAGGGATTGGAGGAGCCTGGCTCTGGCACTCTTCTCAGCCACTTGGGCCAGAAGAAGAAGGGAATGGCTCTGGTGCAGGGCTGACCTCAGTTCTGGCCCCTAAATGACCCCTTTTCCCTGGTCTTCCTCCTCCTCCAGGTTCCCTGCTGGCCCAGTTCTTCTCCTGCGTCTCTTGTTGGGATCTTCGTGGCTCACTACTGTCCCTGCGGGAGGGTCAGGCATTGCCTGTGGCAGGGGGCCTGCCCTCTAATCTCTGGGAGGGCCTGCGCCTTGGCCCCATGAATCTCCAGGACCCTTTTGACCTGAGTCACAATGTGGCAGCCAATGTGACCAGCCGGGTGGCTGGGCGGCTACAGAACTGCTGCCGAGCAGCAGCCAATTACTGCCGAAGCCTCCAGTTCCAGCGCCGTTCCTCCCGGGGTCGGGACTGGGGGCTGCTTCCCCTCCTGCAGCCCAGCTCCCCTAGCTCCCTGCTGTCTGCGACACCCATCCCTTTACCCCCGGCTCCCTTCACCCAGCTTACTGCTGCCCTGGTCCAGGTGTTAAGGGAAGCATTGGGGTGCCATATAGAACAGGGAACCAAGAGACTGCGGTCAGAAGGAGTTGGAACTGGGGAATCTCCCCCGGGAGGAACAAGCAAACGATTGAAACTAGACAGTGAGAAAAATAGCTGTGAGGAGGGGCAGGAGCAGCAGCAGGGATGTGCAGGGGACCACGGTGAAGATGGGGTGGAAGAAATGGTGATAGAGGTTGGGGAGACAGTGCAGGACTGGGCCATGCGGAGCCCTGGGCAGCCAGGGGAGCTGCCCCTGACAACTAGAAAGCATCCATCCACTGGAGAAGAGGGGCAGTCAGGCCCTGCAGCGCTGGCTGAGCAGGGGCCCAAAAGACCTGAGGCCACCCAAGAAGGGTCTGAGGGCGAGACAGAGAAGGGGGGCTTCGCTTTCCTCAGTGAGCTGGCGCTGTGCCTTGTGGCACCGAGTATGGCAGGGGCGGCGGCGTGCCCGGAGACGTTTGCAGCAGCAAACCAAGGAGGGAGATGGAGGCAGTGCTGGCACAGGAGCAGGATGGCTGGCAACCGAGGCGCGGGTAACTCGGGAGCTGAGAGGACTGAGCAGTGCTGAACAGAGGCCAGAGGCTGAGCCGCTCCTGACCTTTGTGGCATCTGCCTCCCAGGCTGACCAGACTCTTACTGTGACCCCCCTCCAGGATTCTCAAGGCCTGTTCCCCGATCTCCATCATTTCTTACAGGTTTTCCTTCCTCAAGCACTTCGGAATCTCCTCAAGTGAAGATGGGGGCCCTAAAGGGCAATAAAGCTGATAGTTTAATAAACGCTATAGTTTGTGATTTCCACCTGGTAATCAATCATCCTCCTTCTGTCCTGTCCTCCCCTTCCCCAGACCTTACTGCAGCCTTCTCAGAGGTGCCTTCTCTGGCCACTGTAAAATAGGTTCTCTCACCTTGTGTCCAGAACGTTTACCACAGTTTGCAGGGAGTGCCCAGGATGAGTGTGTCTGGCACCTGGATCCCACGCAGTAGAGTACTCCAAAGATGGAGTGCTGGGTGGTGGCTTGAAATGCACCTGTCAGGAGAGCCAAGTTTGCTTCCACATCAATCTTGTTGCCCAAATTTATGAATGAAGACAGTGCTTGAAATTTGGGGTCAGGGTTCTCCATTCTCTCACCTAACAGAATTCATCCTGTTCTTAAATTGGGTAAAAGATTTTCAGATCCAAGCGTGGGTGAAAAAGGCAACCCATCCATTGAACTGTCAGCCCCTAAAGGGTGACAGGAGGTGGAAGGGATGTGGCTGTGTTCTCCCTCAGCCCTTCCCCTGTTGCAGGCCCTGGGACTAGTGCTCTTCTCGCAGAACAGCATCCCGAAGCTGCAGAGTGGTTTAATGGGGAAAAAACCCTCACTTTTACAGGGGGCTTCAGACTCGGACTCTGATTAGATGTATCACCTCTCTAGAAAGAGCGGGAACAAAAGGAACTTGGCACCCCACCACCTTAATGCAGTTGTTTCCGCTCCTGTGCGTGTCCCACATCATGATGTTAGGGGTCCAGCAGGACCTCCATCAAATCACCGTGGGCCCCGCGAGCCTGAGGGAAACGCCTCTGGGACCCGGCGCTATGCCAGACTGGCAGTTGTGCCACGTAGCTACAGAGGGGCGGCTTTCCGCTAGTTCTCACAGTCTTCCTTCCCTCCCCGTCTTCCACCTCCACAGCCAGACTCCGATTGGCCATGCCCCACCGCGCAGGCGCGAGCTCTTTCCGCGCTGGCCAGCAGGCCCCACCCCCTTCTTTTTCCATTCGGCCGCCGCGGGATACCGAACTGTCGTGCGTATGCCTTCTATGCCGTCCTCGCTTTCCGGCTGCTGTTTCTCCACGGCTCTCCCCTTCCCCCCTCCCTTCTCTCCCTGACGGCTTACTTTGCGGCAGCGCGGAGAGCCCCACCCCCTTTCTCTGCGGAATCACCATGGCGGCTGGGGTAAGTTTGCCGGCTCCGGCGACCCAGGTCACCCTATCCGAGGCCATCCTCTGCCCGAGTAGGGCCAGTCGGCGTCAGAGGGATTCTGGAGCCGAGTGGGGAACTGATCCGGGGTCTGGAGACCGTACTGTTGGAGAGTAGGGCTTCGAGGCCCCGGAGGGGAACTGAGTCTGGGGCTCTCAGAGGCCAAAAAGGTGGAAGGGTCTGGGGTAGAGGAGAAAGAGATGCCGGATCCTGAGCGTCTGGAGCCTGAGAAAGGGGTTCGGGTTCATTGCTGACTCGAGACGTGGAGTCCGGGCAGGTTGACAGAACTTTTGCGATCGTTTTGTGGGGCAGCAGCAGCAGGCACAGGGTGAAGAGGAGGGTCTTTGTGGGCAGGTACGGCTGGCCATGGTTAAGGGTCGTCCGGCAGGGAGGTGTGGGAGCGAGAGGAGCCTCTGGACGGTGGAGTCAGCCCAGTCGGGCCCCGCTGGCCACGTTAATAGAAGGAGAGAAGGCAACATCAGGGAACTCACTGCGGGACAGGACTGGAGGGATGGTATGCGTGACAAGGAATGAAAGGTTTTTTAGGGAGACCGAGTTGACTTAGGAAGAGATGTCATTCGATCTTTCCGTGGCTATTCCGAAGGTAACTTGGAAATGGCTTGGTCGGTGTGTGTGTCTTGGAAACAGGGCTGATACTTCTGAAGGGTGAGCGGCTCAGCAGTAGAGCAGGCAGGCGCTCGGTAACCATCAATGAATGAACAAGGGATCTGGGAAGGGAGGGGTGTGTGTGTGTCGGCAGATGGAGTCTGAGGGAGCTAGAAGTTCTGGATTTTTTGTAGATGTAGTTGAGAGGAAGAGAATGCTTCTAGAGACGTCCTTATGGAAGGTCAAATCTGTCAGCAAGCTTTATTTAGCAGTTGGTGTGTAGTTCTGTCCTCGGTATGTTGGAGGACTCTGGTTACACATGACAACAGATACTGAAGAACTTGATTCACCAGGGGGAGTAAAAGTGAGTTGAAACAGCTTGGGATTACTCAGGGAAGTCATCCCCTGGGAACATTGAGGACCGGGACCCTTCTAGTCATTAATATTTTAATCCCTGTCTTTTCCCCACAGACCCTGTACACATATCCTGAAAACTGGAGGGCTTTCAAGGCCCTCATTGCCGCTCAGTACAGCGGGGCTCAGGTCCGCGTGCTCTCCGCACCACCCCACTTCCATTTTGGCCAAACGAACCGCACCCCCGAATTTCTCCGTAAATTTCCTGCGGGCAAGGTGAGTAGGGAAGTGGAGAGAGGCCTTTGATCCTGAGAACCGAAGGAGCCCTGCGATTCTATCACTCTGAAGATGACCTCCATCTTTAAAAGGGACCTAGCTTTTCATGTTTTTTTTTTCCTTCCCCGTCACATTTCAGAGATTTAACAAAAACTTACTCTGAGACAGTTGTAACATCCTGTAAAATTCACAGGTTTTGTATTTGTGGGAGAGAATGAGTTTTGACTAAATGGTTTCAGTGGAAATATATCAAATATTTACCGTGAGGGTGATTCTTGCCCCAAGGGGCTTCCGGAGATAGATAAATATCTATGCTAGGCGCAGAGATGTCAAGTGCAGTGTGGGGAACACCATAGCACTGTGAATGATGTAGGCAGATGTAAGACTTGGTTTCTTGCCTTTGCTCCTTTGGTTGAGGGATTTTCTACAAATATCTAATGATGTCTGAATCTTTTGGGTCCCTTATGTAAGGGATAGCAAGTTACTCAGTTTTGGTTCCTGAGTTTCAGATAGTATCAAGAGTTTGGTTAGTAAGGGTTGTCAGCTTGACATAAAAACTTTTATTCGAAACAATTCAGTTCCTGGGCTGACTAGTGAGAAGTTACTGTGTGTTTTCTTTTGACTGCTTTGTCCACAGGTTCCAGCATTTGAGGGTGATGATGGATTCTGTGTGTTTGAGAGCAATGCCATTGCCTACTATGGTAATTTGCCGTGGATGTTTGGGTGGGAGGGCCTGGAGGTGGTGCGGTGTGGGAGAGGGTGAAGGTGAGCTGGAGTGAACAGGGAGAGGAATTTGCAGGGACCTAGTTTGGTTTTGGCATAACCCCAGCGTTCTGACCTTTATGTTCTGCCTCTGCAGTGAGCAATGAGGAGCTGCGGGGACGTACTCCAGAGGCAGCAGCCCAGGTGGTGCAGTGGGTGAGCTTTGCTGATAGCGACATAGTGCCCCCAGCCAGTACCTGGGTGTTTCCCACCTTGGGCATCATGCACTACAACAAGCAGGTGAGCCTTGAAACTCAGGGAGAAGCCAAGGGCGGGGATGGCCTCAGCTCCTGCGTATCAGGGAGTGAGAGATAGAAGGTGTTGAGGAAAAGCAATGCCAGAATATGTGGATAATAAATACCTAATCTTTGGGGTGTAAGTTTGGAGTGCTGGGCTGTTGATGGTATCTGAATTCTTTGTCAGACGGATCCAGTGGAGGTGGGAGGTCTGACGAGAGATATCTGCTGTAGAAAGTTTACACCAAATGGTAGGAGAGTGGTTAGACCATATGACCTCTAAAGTTCTTTCTAAAATTCAAAGATACGTGACTACAGTCAGTACAGCGGGAGATGCAGGCAGACTGCACCAAGAAGTGTAACATTGAGAGCTTCATTTGTGATACATTTGGAATGATCCTTGAATCTGACTCCATTGAAAGGGTGGGGGTGAGTCAGGACTCAGGACTCAGCTACCTTAGTTATATTGTTGGAGGAGGAGGATGGGGACAGGGATTAGTACCCATCGCTAAGTCTTACCATTTTAAATCAATAGGCCACAGAGAATGCAAAGGAGGAGGTGAGGCGGATTCTGGGGCTGCTGGATGCTCACTTGAAGACGAGGACTTTTCTTGTGGGTGAACGTGTGACGCTGGCCGACATCACAGTTGTCTGCACCCTCTTGTGGCTCTATAAACAGGTGACGTTTGTAAAGAATGTGGTTGGCAGAGGGTAGGTGGGCATTAGAAACAAAGTAACAAGTCTGCCAGGTTACCCTCTATTCGGCTGATGAGAGGGAGTCTGAGGTAACAGCTAGTTTGTGGGAATTCCAGGATTGCGTACTACTGTTACCTGAAAACGACTCTCCTCATGGTGAGTGTTGAGCCAAAAGACACAACTGAGCCAAAGATCAGAAGAGAGTATTACTTGGAGCAAGTAAGGAAAACACTGGAGATCTTACCCAACAGCAAAGCTGGGGACCTTTTGCTGAGGGTACACGCATACTCCTGGTGGGACTTGGGTGATGCCAGAGTCCATGCTTTGGCTGATCTAAGTCAGGAGGGTCAGGAAAGGTCGTCATCATGATCATCGCTTAGGTTCCAGGCCATCTGGTGATTGAGCACTTCAGGCTAGTCTTTACTATCTTTGCTGTTGTTATTCTCTTGCCTGGTAAGTTCGTTCCTGCATTCTTCTGTTCCCTTAAGGTCATTACTTACTAAGACCTGTTCAAGAACAAGCATTACAGCCAGGTTCAGACCCGCAAAATGTCTTAGGCTAAAAAATGGCTTCTCTTACGTTAAGAAAGTCATGCCTGGTTCTCTTTCTTCGAGGACCCCCTTCCCTATCTGCTTACGCCATGACTGCTTTCCTTCCTTCTGAGAAGTTTAATACTGTTCTGTTGCCCTTAGTTTCTGTTTGGAAGCTAAGATGATTAGTTCTCATTTCTACGAAAGCCTGGTTGTGCTTAATTGTGAAGACAGAGGTAGGGGTAGTAGATCTTTGGAGTAGAACTAGGATTAGTTCCTGGCTTCATTACTTACCAGTTGTAGGTAGAGGGGGGCTGTGTGTGTGTGTGAATTCCTTTAGTCCTGATTTTTCCCTCTGGAAGCTGTAAAA